ATTTGCAATCGATTTTATTTGAGAATTCAAATTTAAGTAAATATAAATATATAATAGTAATAGTTTTTCTATATTTTGGAGGCCCCTAAAAATTGGGGGTAACAATGGCCCAGGTTAGATGATCCATGGCCGGCTCTGGTAACTAGGACGGTGATTACTAAAACGATAGTAACTTTGACGGTGGCAACTGGAGCTGTAGTAACTGAAACGGTAATTAGTGGAACGGTAATACATGCATGCGGCGATAGTCATAGGAGCGATGGTCACTATTAATTAGCCGCTTAGGCAACATGTCATCAGTCAATGGTATCACTTATAGTTGACCACATAAATACTTTACCAAAAAATAGAAACTTTAAAATGATTTCTCAAGTCATTTTGAATTTTCACACAAATTTTAGTGTAATTTAAGTATTGAAGTATTTAAAGAAGCTAAGGGCCTGTTTACTAACAAAGATATTTTCCAGTTTTCCAGAAAACTGGAAAACAGAAAACAAGAAACGTGTTTACCAAAGAAAATTGTTGGAAAACTGGAGAAAAGAAAACAGAAAAACACGTTTACCAAATTGTTTTCCAAAACGAAAAAATGAGATATGTCTCTCTTTTCCTTAATGATTTGAAAAAGTGACTTTTACTAGTTTTCCAAATTTGGAAAACGCAGATGCTACAGTGCCGTTGCAATGAATTTGCATACTTACACCTAGTGGTGGGTCCGGTCCCGCTCCGATGTCGATTCCATTTCGGTACCTCCATTCTCGTACCTTACTCCTTACCCCTTCCCTACCCACCCTACCCCCCACCCCGCGTACCCCTTTTCCCTACAATGACCCTACCCCACCCCCTACCACATGCCCCTACCTTGGCCCCACCCCGATCCACCCTACCCTACTGCCACCCCCCTACCACACCGACCCCGACCCCACCCACCATACCCTACCCCCACCCTCGTATATTACCCCTTACCCTTACCTTACCCCATACCGCATGCCCCCTACCTCGACCCCACCCTACCGCCATCCTACCCCCCACCCTCGTACCCCCACCCTACCGCCATCCTACCCCCACCCTCGTACCCCCACCCTGATCCCGACCCTACCTTACCGCCATCCTACCCCAACTCCCTACCCTACCCCTACCTTACCCCCAACACCCACTACCCCCCCACCCTTACCCCTAACCACGACCCTAACCCTACCACTAGACCTTACCACCCCACCCCCGACCATACCCTTACCCCACCCCGACCTCGACCCCTACGAGTAGGTGTGGGTGGGTATGAAGAGAGTATGGGTAGAGTGTAAGATCGTGGTAAGGGTAGGGGTAAGGGTCAAGGGTGTGGAATTCGGTATAGAGTGGGGGTACGAGGTATAGGGGTGGGGTAGGGGGTGGGGTATGGGTACACGTACGAGGTGATCGACCCCACATATTATATTATGTATTTGTGTTTATGAATGTTGTGTGTCTATATTTGTATAAGGGTTATTTTGGACATTTTAATGTTAAACGATGTTTTAAACCTTTTGAAATAAACATGATCTTATAACATTGCTTATTTTATGCGCCACTTATTAACGCGGGTCTTAATAAGCACCATTTAATAACGTGTGAAGTAAACGTGTCCTCAGTCTTCTGGATGATCACAGAACTGGGTGGAAAAATGCATGAACATGTTTTCAGATTTGAAAATGGAAAACTAAAAAATAGAAACAGAAAATTGGAGATAGAAAAACTGGAAAATAAAAATGAAAGCTGGAGAACGAAAAACAGAAGTAGAAAACAGGAAAATATCTCTGTTAGTAAACAGGCTCTAAGCTTCGCCAGAAGATTTATGCAGTGTTACTTGTTAGAAGCCAGGCTTCGTCAACAGCAAGTAAGATGATCGAGAGAGCCCTCCTTTAATATATCGTCTGATATGAACTATGAAATAGTTAGAAGGGTAATTTTGTAAAGTACTGCTGAAGTTAACCGTGGTTAAGGAAAGCCACTATTTGAAGTAACAATTCTTCTCTTACAGTACAAAAGCAGTCACTCCAAGTGACGGTTCTTTTCTTACAACACAAAAGTCGCCACTCCAATTGGCGACTCTTCTCTTACAGCACAAAAGTTGTCACCTCAAGTGGTGATTCTTCACTTAGAGCACAAAACCACCACTTCAAGTACAACCATTTGAGCATAACTACTTGGCAGCAGTAGGAAGCTAACAGAAGAAACGTGGATCTAGAGAAACAATGATTGCACTTGAAGTGGCAATTTTTGTGCTGCAAGTGAAGAACCGCCACTTGAAGTGGTGGCTTTTGTGATGTAAGAGAAGAGCCGCCACTTGGAGTGGCGGCTTATGTACGATAAGAGAAGAACTGACACTTCAAGTGACTGCTTTCCTTAATCACGGTTAACCCAACAGTATTTTAAAACTTATTTTCAATACAACAATATATTGAGAATTATTTATTTAATTAACATTATTCCGTGAAAAAACTAAAAAATATGGTAGTCTCTTGAAATTCCAAAAAGTTTTTATAGTTATTTTGGGAAAAAATATTTCATATACTACTCCAAAGTAGATAAGCTGGTTATCCATCTCCTAAACCCGCAGGAGCTAACCACGGCTAGGCAGCGGGAGAGCCTATACCGTACACCCGGATGTACATGTACATCCGGCATTTTTGTAATTTTTTCTAATTTGAAGAACAATAATCAGATCCTCCTTCTTCCGTCCACCTCTTTCCCTGTTTCTTCCGTCCGCCTCTTTCCCTGTTTCTTCCGTTCGCCTCTTTCCCTGTGTGTATGTGGACTGTCCGCACTCGGCAGTTCTTTTTTTCTCAACCACCTTAACCTGCTTTTGCTTTGTAACTTGTAAGTAGTTTTCATTTTTATTTCTCTTTCCGTTTTATCTTAACTACATTTTCATTGATTTCAATTTATGATGAATATTTAATGTGTTAATGTTTAATTTTTCTATTTTTAATTTAACATGAATATTTATTAATTTATGGTAAATCCGAATATGATTTAACTTCAATTCTTTGTAATTAAATTTTCAATAGTTTTGCTTATTTCCTGCACTTTTGTAATCCACTACAGGTTGCTTGCAATATATATCATTGGAAATTGTGTTTGGTCTGGTTTGACCGTGGCAAAAAGAACTAAAGTAGTAAAAAAACATGATATTCAATTGAAAATGATTTTGATTCTAAATGAAATTTTGTATGCACACTTTAAGAATTCTAATATTCATTACACATAATCTTGATACTCAATAGTAGAAAACAATATACTCAATGAGAATGTTTTTATACTCAAATGAGACTTTTAAATTATGTGTATTCAATTGCAATATTGTACTCTATGGAGGGCGTTTGATGCTCAATGAGCAATATTGTACTTTTAGTGAACATCTGGTCTATTTTATTGAGTATTAGGATGCTAACAATGAGTATCACGATCTCTACTTCATATCTTCTAATCTTTTTTTTTCTTTTATAAAAACTTATTAAGTTATATCTACAATCCACTCTTATTAATTTCAATATGCAAGTGTAATGTAATATGATACTTTTAAAATATGCATTTATATGACATTGTAAAAATGAGCATAACATTAGTACCAAATGAGCATACATAACATACAAAGTGCACATTGATAAGAAAATCGTAAGATTTGTAAGTTGAACATCATGACATTTTAATTGACCATCAACCTCCACTATTGAGATGAAAATCACGACTTCTGAAGAATGAGTAATATTGAACTTTTAATGAGCATCAATCCTATTATATTGAGTATTAGGAGTCCAATATTCAGAATCGTGATCTCTGCTTCATAACTTTTAATTCACTTTCTTTTTGTTATTTTTCTGTTATAAAAATTAATTACATTATATTTATAATCAACTCCTATGAATTTCAATATGTGAATCTAATGTAGAATAGTACTTTTAAAAATGCATTGATATGACATTTACAAAATGAGCATAAGACCAACACCAGATGAGCATACATAACTTACAAAATGAGTATTAATGAATTTGTTAGTTGCTTTGTTAGTTGAACATCACGACATTTTAATTGAGCATTAATGAACTTTTAATGAGCATTAATGAACTTTTAATGAGCATCAGACCTATTATGTTGAGTATTAGAAGTTTAATAATCAGAATCGTGATATCTGCTTCATAACTTCTAAGTCATTTTTTTTTAATTATTTTTTGGTATATAAAAACTTAATAAGTAACTTAAGTAACGTCAATATCAAATGAGCATAAGTAACTTACAATATGAGTATTACACCAAGATAAAATGAACATACATACTTACAAAACGAGTATCGAAAAAATTCAAAAAACTCACTTAAAATCTCCAGTATGCTCAAATAGTAAATGAGAATGCATAACCCATGAAATGAGCATCGAAAAAACTAAAATGAGCATTACACCAATATGCATGAGTATGACATTTTGAAATGTATGGTGTAATGCTCATTTTAAAATGAGTATTATACCAATATCAAATGAGTATAGATAACTTACGAAATGAGTATGTAAATGATATTTTAAAATTAGCATAAAACCGATATCAAATGAATATATGTAACTTACAAAATGAGTTATATAAAATCAAAACATTAATTCATAAAATATTTTATAATTGAATAACATTAAAGTAAAAAAAAAACGAAAGTGAAAAGAGAGAAGGAAACAAGTTAAAGCAGGAAAGGAAGAAAAGAAAAAAACAAAACAAAAAACGTAAGCAGAACAAAGCAAACATCCAAGCAGAACTCTTCGTCGAAGCAGGCCAAACATCGGCACCTCCTCCGTCGATTCCCAAAACATCAGCGCGCAGTAAACAGAACTCTTCCGCGGCTTCTTCATCCCTAACCTTTATCATCTGAGTTGTAATTAATTTCAAAAATACCCGGTTGTACGATCAGAACCGTACAACCGGGTGTAAGGTTATATTTTGCGAGGCAGCGGGGCTTATCTACAATTGATTTCCATAGAATGAGGCTGCGGTAAAATCTTCCCTCGGTTATTCGTTTTGTGAGTGGAAATGGCCACCTTACTCTCACAAATCACTTTCAAACTGACGCACACCATGACGACACCTAACCGACGGCGAACAGTTCCTCCACGCGGAGCCGGGAGCGTCGCCGTATCAGTATCCTCGCCTCAGCGGCGAAGGAGGGGGAGAAAGCCCCAAACGAGGAACCATCCAAAGACGGCTGAGGATGATGACGGTGGCGGCGCCTTGATGGATTCCGGGACTGAGAAGGGGCTCAGGCTAGTGTTCATGGAGGAGCTAATGCAGCGTGCTCGGAAGGCTGACGCTCCTGGTGTCTCCGAAGTCATATATGATATGATTGCTGCTGGACTCTACCCCGGACCTCGCTCTTTCCATGGACTGGTCGTTTCTCACGTCCTCAACCTCGACGAGGAGGGAGCTGTAAGTCCCTACCTCTCCCTCACTCGCTCCAACCTCCAAAAGAAATTCAAAACGAGAAAAGAAGAATTAATGTTTACCATTTTGGATTTTAATGAGGTGTGATAAAATGATGCTTCTTCTGAGCATGAAAGGGCTGTGTCATTCACTGTGCTTTCCACAATGTGTATGTGTCTGGTAAAGTTTTATACCTGTGACAGGGCAATGCAGATATCTTGGGAATTTAAAATTCAGTCACGGAGTAGTTTTTTTTAATTTATATAAGGTTTATACTTATAAATTCAAAGAAAATAATAAAAAAATCAAAATTGGTTAGAAGTGAGTTTGAACTCCATGATATACGAATGCAACATTGCAGATGCATGCTCTAAAAAGGGAGTTGAGTGAAGGTCTACGGCCTGTCCATGAAACTTTGGTGGCATTGATTCGTTTGTTTGGTTCAAAGGGACTTTTGACAAGAGGCTTAGAAATTCTCTCAGCAATGGAAAAACTGAAGTACGACATTCGCCCCGCCTGGCTAATTCTTGTGGGTATAGTGAACACTAGCATATATAGCTTTGTTTGGTGTGTTTCAGCCACTCCATTTAAAGTGTACTTTTTCCTGTCCTAAAAGCGTCAGTTTTGTTTGTTTGGAGCAGAGGAACTTGTACGAAGCAACCATCTGGAAAGTGCCAATAAGGTGTTTCTAAAGGGTGCCGAAGGTGGGCTTAGAGCTACTGACCAGATTTATGATCTTCTAATCGAAGAAGATTGTAAGGCAGGAGATCACTCAAATGCATTAACCATTGCCTATGAGATGGAGGCTGCTGGAAGAATGGCTACCACTTTCCATTTCAATTGTCTTTTGAGTGTGCAGGTATTTACTTTTACAGTCTCATTGTTTTTTGTTGGTTAAAATGCTCAGAACTGAAGTTCATAGCTTTAGAAAGACAGGATACCAAGTTTGTAAAATAATTCATAGATCTCAATGGTTTACCTGGTTCTTTTCTGTTCTAGAAGTCATTATGTAGTCTTCATAGCAAGTTTTGTGCATATCATACATTTGATATTATCGAAATCACATGCTCCAATTGAAAGCTGAAATAAGTATTGTGTCACTGCATCAGACACGCGCCCCTCCCCTTAGAAAAAGAAAAGAATTGTGAGGAGACATATATGACCAAATATATAATACGAACGACTACGTAATCAAGGGATTATATAAAGCCAAAATAGAATATTGTAATTTATGCCCAGTACTTCGTAAAGTACAAAAAAAGTGGTATGCTCTCCAATAAAATTATGCTTAAAGGCGCCAAGTGAGCAAAGGTGGCTCAATTCCTAAAGTAAGCCAATTTTGAAGTTTTCTCTTTAGCTTACGGATACCTAGCCTCTATGCTTAAATTCACAATGACGCACATGATCTTTCATGCTCTTTAGCCAAAAAGCTCATAGCTACATTACAAATAAAAATTCATGGTTGACTACTTGACTCCTCATATCTGCCCTGGGTTATCTACTCGGTGAGTACTCGGCGAGTACTCAGTGAGTACTCGGCGAGTACTCAGTGAGTACTCGCAACTCGGGTCCTTACCTTGCCGATTAGCAACTTAACTCGGTCCAAGTTAATTTTCCGAGTTACTCGCCGAGTACTCGGCGAGTTTTGCTACTCGGTCAACATCGGAAATCGGCGAGTACTCGGCATTACTCGTTTTTTTTTAAATTGAAGCACTACGCTTAGAATTCCTAAATTAAAACAAAAAAAATAACGGAGTTCCAAGTCTCTGACTGCAACATCGGCTCTCTTGGAGTCGCGCGACATCCGCTATCCCTTGAAGTTGAGACTGCGACATCGGCTAGTAACTCTTCTTTCTCTCGTAACTTCACCTCTTCACTTATGGTTTCTTCTTCTTCCCCCCTCTCTTAGTCATGTATGTCCGTGCCTTCTTGGATAGTTTTGGTTCTTGTTTTCGGTAAGCTTTCATATTGGATAAGTAGTCTAGTAGACATCCTGCTTTATAGTATCCAATGCATGACTTCTTGGACTAAACTGATAAATACTTTTGAATAATATAAGTAGTCTAGTAGACATCCTGCTTTATGTTGGACTAACGCCCTCATACTCCCTATGAATTCAATTTCAACAATAGACATTAAATTTTGATCACTTATAAAATTTAAATTTTGAAAACTTGGAATATTTAAGACTTTTGCTACTCCATCAATAGGATAATAGGATTTGTATCTTTTTATTCATTTCTATGCTTTTAAAACAATTTTAAGACTATTTTAAGACTATTATATTTCTAAATATCTGGCAACTATATTATTAAATTTAATTAATACAGGACCGAGTAATCACCGAGTAATCCCGAGTAATCGGTCCTACTCACTACTCGGCCCTTGACCGAGTTACTACCGAGTAGCGAGTAAACTACTTAGTATCTGCCCAAAGTTCTTTATATTCTTCACTTAATTCCTCCATGTGATAGTTCGAGTTGCTGGGTTTGGCTATTTTGTGCGCTAATCTGAAATACCAGATCATGTACATTTGTCATCATCTAAGTCAAACATGAAAATACAAAATCCATTTTATTTTTTCATTTTAAATTTACTTTCTGTTGATTATTTAAAAAAAAAAAGAAAACCACTGCACAATTGGAGAAATAGAAACTTATAAAGATATCGCTCTAGATAGAGGTAAAAATAATGTAAAATTCCAAATAGGGGTGTTATATTCCACCATAGGTAGGAGTAATTACTAAAATGCTTGGAAGTTACTACCACTCATGGCATCAATGGGAAATTACTGCCACATTAATGCCTGGTAATGCCAAAATATGATGGTACTATTTCAGGATGGCAGTAATGCACTCCTATTTAGGGAAAAAAATATAGTGCTCCTGTTTTAGAATTTCACATTGTTTTTAGGATGTTTTTACTTGGACTGTTTTCAGCCCCAGACCAGACTTGGACAATTATAAAGTACACAGAGACCAGACTAGTTCAGACTAGATCAGACCATATCAGAAAATTTCTGTCCAATTAAAAACATTCTTACTCCTATTTAGGAAATTTCCCAATCTTATTTGTTAAATTTAATTGTGGTTAATGTGACCTCACCCAAAGTAAGGGTTTTTTTTGTTCTTGTTTTTTTCTAGGCTACGTGTGGCATACCTGAAATTGCATTTACAACCTTCGAAAACATGGAATATGGAGAAGGTCTGTCACTCCATCATTGTTTTCAGGATTTAACTTCCCTTTCCTCTTTCATGGCCTCATATTTCAATATCTTCCAGTTGCAAACTTGTGTAAAATGCTGGTGGCTTCCTTCCTTTCATAGAGTGCCATGATTAAATCGAGATAGCATTAGTTAATAATCTGGCTTAGGCTATGAACCATGTGTATATATATTCTTCAATGTAAGGATACCAAATAAATCCATTCTAAGATTACATAAACATAATAAGCTCTCCCCCACCAATATATAACAAATTCAAATAATTCACATACATATGTGAACCACTTGCTTTAGGGTAGTCAACAGTACACAACAGATTCAGTTCATCTATTTAACTAGCGGTACATGAACTCATGAAGTTTAACTTGCTTTACAGTTGGATGGCCATGGGATAGGATAACTTATCCTCAAATTCTTTCTTATTACAATCCTGAGGGATAAAGTATTGGAATCCTCAATGTGATCAGAGTATTAGACACTTATTTTGTTTGCCTGTTAATTATATATTATTAGACCCACATGATAGATTCCATTGTTTGTCCCAAGCTTCTCTCTTGATAATTTCATCTTTTGTGAAAATGGTATGATGTTATTTTGAATTCACCCATGTAAATTTACTGTAGATTTTATTTTTTGCAGACTTTATGAAGCCCAATACTGAGACGTATAATTGGGTGATCCAAGCATATACAAGGGCAGAAACTTATGATAGGTGAGTCTCAAAACAATTTTCTCATCTTCAAAGCACTTCCATTTGTAGAGTTGCGTGCTCTTGCATGCCTGGAATTTATAGCATGTAATTTTGGTATAAATTTGGCTGACTTGTTCGAAATATCCAAGATCACTCTACAGAGAAAATCAACGAGTTTTCAGAGTATTAAAGTGTTGTATACTTGTATTAACAGATTGCAACTATAAGTCAACTCAATGTAAACATCATGCTAACAATTATATATACTTTTTGAAATATTTAGCTTACAATTATGAAATGTTTTAGCACATGGTTCATGACTAGAGCAAAAGAAAGCAATAAGAATTCGAAAAGATCTTAGCAGAAGGCATGTGCTTAGATCTGCTGCTACCCCTTGGAGTGCTCACTTAAAGGTCTAAGGGAAATAACTTGTCTCCTATGATTCAAGATGAGGATTACCCTTTGATATTCTCTTAGCTCAAGGTGTAATCCCTCATGGCAAGCCTATACTACAATGTCTTCACAATATATAGGGATTGAGCAATTAAGATTTGACCAGTTCACATCGTCTACTGAGGAAATTTAGCCTGCATAACCGGCACTAACCCCCAAAACCCTAGACCAGGAAGTAATTCCCCCAATTTATACAAATTTTAGCGATTGAGCATGACCTACGTGGGAAAACACCAAATTTAAGCGCATGAAGAGATTTAGTTACGATATCCATGTTGACACATACAATTCAGGATACGAATTTACATGCATTATAGAGTAAAAGAAAGGAGATCTTAGCTAAACAACTGATCTTTAGAAATGCCAAATTCTAGTTGTAATCCTCAACGAGAGAGTAGCATAGTAAGAGTCTATGATCCAAATAGGGTTATAAGATGATAAGAGTTTTTAGGGCCGTTTCCTTATGAGTTATGAGATAAAGAATTTTCATCCAAAGCTGTGGTCCATGCTTCTAGATATATGGCTATAAAGCGGGAGTTTGGGACCGGGTCTTGTGTCCCCTAGAAAGAAGTTGCAACCGGATGCCTCTAACCTCTGATGAGAGAACTGACCCTGACGGCATCCCATGGCAGCGATAGCCATAGGTGTCAAGGTGAATTAGGCGCTACTTGGCCAATTGCTCTTTGGTGTCCGCCTCATGCCCGGAGTCCGTTGACTGTCATTATGACCCACCACAGATCGCAGTCCATCCGCCACTTTTGCCCAAGAATGCTCTGGACTTCCACAAAAGCATGCCGTGTTGCTTCCGTTAGTCAAATATCAAGCCTCACATCTGTCCTCCTTCAAAAAGTCTAATGTTAGCTGTGTGGAATTACTAAAATGTTTTTTTTCACACATGAAAAACATATCAGCTCTAGGAATTATTAAAATAATGGGAAAATTCCCGAAATAGGAGTAAAAACGTTTTGGAATTTCCAAATAGGAGTACTCTGTTTATATTCCCTATTCCCTAATAGGAGTAATTACTGTCAAGCATGGAAACAAAAAAGTGGAATTGGATAAGATATGAAAATTCATATTTCATGGAAGAAGCCAGCTGAAGTCATTCACTTTTCTTCTCCTTTTATTGAACATGGTATTAACTGTTCATGTTGTAATTCATCATCTATTCCATAATGAATCCATTTCATCCTCCCCTGGAGTAACCACACCGCCATCTGTTCGCCTACATCCCCTCCGATCAATGATGATCCTGCTGTTATTGCTCATGTTCTTAAGTAGACCCGTTCAGTTAAAATGCAACACAGCCATTCACTGATTGCAACAAATGAAATTCTTCTCATTTGCATTCCCACTACTGTTGCCTGTAGTATCTGCCCAGTTCAAGGAAAGCTACATGTATGCATCAGGCCCATTGATAATTTGGTTTAAGAGACAAAACAATAATAGGGCATCTAATTTCTTAAGAAAGCAATCACGGAACTCCACTGTTGTATAAACTCTCATGTATTTGGATCCTCAAATTGTGTATCTTGGTTCTTTGCTGTGCAAAGAACTGAGCTTGGCTAAGATTTTAAGTATTTCAGATTTAGAAGTGAAAATTATTTATTTGCATTGGTATGGTTTTGATGCGGTTTAGACATTGTACCCCTGATGAATGTGTATTGGTGATCCCCTTTCTTAGTTTATGACATAGTGACATACTCATCTTGATATTGGTTTCTTTTATTTTAGCTTTGAAAAGGAAAGTCAATAATAGAGCAAGTAGAACTTGCTGACTTGTATTGTAATAAATCCAGTTGAGAAACATTAAACTTTTATAGAACACCACATGTCATTCATACTTAGTTTTGAATGTTGATGTAGGGTGCAAGATGTTGCTGAGCTACTTGGCATGATGGTTGAAGACCATAAATGTTTGCAACCTAACATGAGAACTTATGCGTATGGGAGCTTTCCCTTCTCTCTCCTTCCTTTTGCGAGAAATATAAAATTTACATTTATATTATTATGGAGTAACAGACTTATAATTTAACATTCTGCCTCAATAGATTAGTCTGGTGCCTATATTTCTTAAATGCTTCTTTCTCGAAATGGTAAAGACAAAACAACTAACTATCTACGCATGCCAATGAATTTCCTATCCTGATTACATTTAAAATGGTAAATATGTTCAAGTACAACCATTTTTACGAGCACCTCTGACGCCCTAAATATGCACTAAAATATATAACCAGGATTGCTCCCAATTCAAATCCCTGACCTCAAACTCTCAAAGCCTAAAGGTTGGTTCTTGATTTTTTAATGTTTTAAACCACAAAGACATGATTGCCACAATATTCTTGATCAGTGTTGTTTCGAAACCTTAACTTTTGTTCTCACTTCGAAGTATTCTGTTACATCAAGTGTCTCGTCCAAACAAGTAAAACAACTGGACGTACTACTCTCCTTGCACTGCAATATTTCTACCTTCTTATTTTATAACTGGGTTGGGTAGTAGGGGAGAACTGTCCAGAGAATTAGGATATACTCTTGTGAAGTGCATATTAGAGGTTAGGATGTCATCTAGAAGACCAGAACAACACTAGTTGTCTAGTTCCTACTGTTTGCTTCACTACTTTATGGACATGAATGATGCCCAAAGTGCCACAAAGAATGAATGAAAAAATTGCAATGGTAGGGTCCATGTTTTGTTTACTGCATCTCATTCATTAAAGTGAGTAGTAGCATTTACCCTCTCACTTTTCAGTTTGTTGGTGGAATGTTTTACCAAGTATTGTGTCATACGCGAAGCCATTCGACATTTCCGAGCACTAAAAGGAATTGAAGGTGGAATTAGACTATTACATAATGAGGGGAAACATGGCGACCCACTTTCATTGTATCTTCGTGCTCTTTGTAGAGAAGGTACGCTACTACACAACTCTGGACAGGTCAAACAACTGTTATATTACTCATTCCCTCCCAATATATTATTGCTTACTTTTACTTGAGAAGCGTATTAACTGTTAAAATGAAAATTGAATGTTTTAAGATTTATTTAGAAGGAAATAGAAACAATAGATAACACACAATTCTTTCTTTAAAAGGAAATAGTAGATAAGTGTGGGCTATACGAAAAAGAAAAGGGTGAAGATAATTTTGGGATTAAAGTTGTTTCAGGCGCATCTGAAAAATGAATGAAGGTAAATTGATCTTTTCACCTTTAGCACTGATTACCTCCCCCTGACTCCATGAGTAACATCCCCTCCAAATGTCAAACACTTTTATACTCCCACAGTATTTTTTAGTTGTCTCTAACCCTATAGTTTTTCACGGCAATTAAGAAAAATCAGTGGGGGTATAGTTAATAAGAAGTGTAAAAGGTAGGGCCGTAGGAGGGAGTAGATGAATAAGTATGAGAGAGAAAATGAAAAAGTAGAGAAAGTATGAAAAAGAAGACGTAAATGTAAGTAAATGTTATCAAAAGCGGAAATGAAAAAATAATAAATTACTTCCCAAAAATGAATATGCAATTGGTTACCACCGCCCAGCTGCCGAGCAACCACCACTAAACACCAAGTAGGGGTTGGTTAATGTGAGACCCTAAATGGTAAGAGCTAAACCCTGAATGCTAACCCTAAACCCCAATGGAATTTCAGGCTAAAATTGATATGTCTTCATTTTGAATGGATAAAGTTTTATTTTTTGATACAGTCCTATTTTTTGAATAATGCGAAATTTTAGAGTTATATACAGCAATTTCTCTTATTTAAACTGTAAAGTCTTACATATGGAAGAGATAGCCCTAAAAGAAGAATAGAGAAGTGTTGTAAACTATTACAAACTGAGAAATAATGAGCTCAATGATGCCCTGTGTTACCACATCATGGTATTGGTCATAAGGAGCTTTCTGGCTATTGGGAAAAGGCTTTGAATTAGACTTGCACACTGTGAGAATGGAATAGGAATGCCAAAAGTTTGAGGTGCATGCGGAGGAGCTATTAAGAACCAGTCATCCTTCATATGTGCTCACTTTGAGAAGTATACCTCCTTTCTCCTTGATCCAACTATACCAAGCCATACTTCATTGCTGACGTTGATAGCTACAAACACATTCGAAGTCATTAGTGCAAACTGTGCAATGCTGCTGGGCTCTGTGTTTTCTTTGGAAAGCATATAATACACCAACATCCAAGCCTTAGTCTCAAAAGATTTTGGGGTCAGCTAACATGAATCAATACATGATATCAGAATCAAAGGAAAAGAAAGATAAAAAGATAAGCATTGATAAAAAAGATAATATAAAAAGGATAAAAAGAATATATATATATATATATATATATATATATATATATATATATATATATAAGGATAAAAACAAAAACACGACAAAGAAAAAGAAGATGAGGGGAAAAAGATTATAAGAGATCACTCCATCATACAAATACCCGCCCTCCACTTTGCTCTCTCCAAAGCCACGTCCTCATCCAATCCAAGAAGAAGCATATCACTCTTGACTCCTCTGATCCACGTCTATTTGGGTCTTCCTCTCCCTCTCTTCCCTGCCTCTTCTCCACACTTCTCAACTCGTCTGACTGGTGCATCACTCGGTCTTCTACGCACATCATTAAACCACTGCAAGCGAGACTACCACATCATATCTTCAACATGTGCTACTCCCACCTTTACCTTTTGTCTGATTGTCTCATGCCTCAACCGGTCTTTTCTAGTATGTCGACAAATCCAACGTAACATGCGAATGTCTGTTACTCTCATCTTTTTAATTTGACATATAATGAAATATGAAAGTTTAGGATGGAATGATGTTGAAGGTGGGCTGGAAATATACTATCAGCCGTTCTTTAATTCTTGCAACAGTTTGATTTTCACGTTTACCAATGCACAACTTTGACTGTAATTATATTTAATTATGAATTAGTAGACATTATAAAAAGTTGATATTTTGAAAATTCAAATTAATAGGAATTCAATAACATTTTATACTTAATAATTTGATTATGTATATTAGTAGAAATTATGATCAAAGTAAGGTCTGTGAATAGTGTGAAATTCACAATGTTGCAAGAATTAAAGAACGGAGGAAGTACTTTCTAATGGAAAACATTAACCCCTCAAAGGTGATGATAATACTTTATGTGAGTGATGCTATTGTTCCCCTTCGTCCTGGATGTTATGCCAAATTGTTAGGGGCTCTGGTACACAATCAAGTCTAAGGTCAATAGACAACAAAGAGGGAAGGCATAATTTGAATTTATGGTGCCTAGAAATATTTATCTGACTCCTGCCCTAGTCAATTAGTTGCCCAAGTTCCACCGTGCGCCCAAGAGAAAATATTACAAACTAAATATTTATTCTGATGGATAAGCCTTGTATAGGCAAACGACAGAGTCTAAAAACACAAATAGGAAAGAGTTATAAATTATAGAGATTGATTAAAATATAGAGAGCTAAATAATAGGAAACAACTGAGGTAATGAAAGCTTATAAATGGAAACATCTAGGATAACATGTAGACCAATTAATTAGGCTTCTTGGTGTGTTTTCTTTTACAAACCTGCTAAATTTCCCTGTATTACAGTTTTTTTGAATTATAACATTTCCGATTATTGCTAAAGCCAATGTGTTATCATGTCAATGAAGTAGCTAACCCTCCATTATATTTTTTAAATCTGAGGACAGGAAGAATTGTTGACTTACTGGAAGCTCTGGAAGCTATGGTAAAAGATAACCAGCCGATTCCGCCAAGAGCAATGTTTCTGAACAGAAAATATCGTACTTTAGTTAGCTCATGGATTGAGCCTTTGCAAGAAGAGACTGAACTTGGATATGAGATTGATTACATAGCCAGGTTGGTCTGATAGTTCCTGGCTTTTAATCCTTGTATCCTACTGCATCATGTGACAATGTTTAGTTTGATTACTTTACACCTTTTTAAGTTAGTGTATAGGAGTTTCTAATACATTTGTCAGCTACCCTTCTTCTTACCTCTACCAATCTGAGTCTGAAACGATGATACCTTAACAGTTAAAGACTAAAGTGACCAAAGAATTCAGGTATGTTGCAGAAGGTGGACTTACTGGTGAGCGCAAAAGATGGGTTCCACGAAGGGGTAAAACTCCTCTAGATCCTGATGCCGAAGGATTTATTTATTCCAATCCCAGAGAAACCTCCTTTAAACAAAGGTGTCTTGAAGACTGGAGGACACATCACAAAAAGCTTTTGACTACCTTACGCAATGAAGGACCTGCCATAATGGGAAACATATCTGAATCTGATTACGTACGTGTTGTGGAAAGACTAAAGGAAATTATTAGTGTTACCAAGCAGAAGGTTTTGAAACCAAAAGCTGCAAGTAAAATGGTTGTGTCTGAGCTAAGGGAAGAACTGGAAGCACAGGGACTTCCAATGGATGGAAAAAGAAATGTGCTCTACCAGCGAGTGCAGAAAGCAAGGAGGATAAATCTTTCAAGAGGACGGCCACTATGGGTTCCTCCAGTTGAAGAGCAAGAAGAAGAGGTACATCTGGTTTGCGATTATGATATGAGCCCATTGTTTATATATTAGTGGTAAACTAGTAATATTACTATTAATATGATTACTAGTATTGACATTAGTTTTTAGTCAATAATCCTTATAGAAAACTAGTAAGATATTCACTTGCTCACCTGGACAATTGTGAGTATTATAAGTAGCCGTTTAATTCCATTAATAATAAAATAGTTCCCATCTAAGCACACTTCATAAATCATAGCACATTATTAGCTATGTTTGACAAACCAGACTGGAAAACGGCCTGGCCAAATGACTGGGTCACAGGTCAACCCGGATCTGGCGGGTCAACCCAGCAATGGCTCGAAAACCGGTCAACATATATAAAACGTGATATTCATACACATATAATTATGTATACAATTAAAAAAAAGTATTTACTTTTCATAATAATGAAAAAACTGTAATATTTAGTAAGAATTTAAAACACTCTTATAGTACTCAATAGTCCAATTTATAAGATTAGTCATATTAGAATCAGTAATGTTATTTGTGTTGTGATTTACAATATAATTTGACATGATTTATTCCTAAATAAATATACAAAGGTATCGCTTTTTTCTTTATATGATATTGAGATTGTAATTTTATTAGATAAAACTATAAAAGTGCTTAAAATATAGAATAAAATTTCTTAAAACAGCAGTACAGCACCCAAAACTGAACTTTCCCAGGTCACCGGAGTTTTTCCGGTCTGGGTTTTTACGGGTGACCTGGTTTTTCCTATCTGGCTACCCATTTTCAGGGTTTTCGCAAACTGACAAACCAGACCGGTTTTTGGTCCTGGTCGACCCAGCCGGTTTGGGTCAGTTTCTTACCCATAGATTATTAGGTGGATTCAAATATTACCTTGTTTTTATACATTCCCGAAGTTTTGGAGCTACTATTTGTTTAGCAGGTTGATGAAGAGATAGATGAATTGATTTCACGCATCAAGGTGCAAGAGGGAAATACTGAGTTCTGGAGAAAACGTTTTCTGGGAGAATGCCTAAATGGAAATAACAGTCAGGAAATGGAAGTAAAAACCTCAGAACCCGCTGATGTCTTGGATGATGATGGTATTGTTAGTGATGGGAAAGATGTTGAAGATGGTGAGACAGATGATGATGAGGAGGAGGAGGAGGAGGATGAGGAGGAGGAGGATGAGGAGGAAGTAGAGGTGCATCTAGAAGCAGAGCAAACTGAAGCCCAGGTAGAAGGAGGTGATAGGCTCAAAGATGGAGAATCTAAACCGTCCAGCCCTCCTCAAATGATTGGAGTACAGTTGATGAAAGAATTCGAACAAACAGCTACTTATTCAAAAAAATCTAGAAGGTTTCGACTTTCTGCAACAGTAAGATTTAAAGATTTATTACTACTTCCTAATATACGAATCATGAAATACTGAAACCAGTATTAAAAGTGTGACTCCTTTTGGGGGATAGAATGAGTTTCAGTTTTTTTTACTTAGTTATTCTTTTGTATGTTAACTACTACTTTATTGTATAAACTTCCATCTTATGAACAGAGTCTGCAGGAATGAAGTCATGAACACTATTCATTTTTATAGATGAAAGACTACAGATAAAGGCTAGATCCTTGCCTAGTTTTAGGAGACAGACTAAGGAAAAATAAACTATCAAATCTACATTGCAACTAATTATGGTGAATATTTGACCTAACCCATTCCTGTAAGAAACTCCGTTTATCTTCTTTTAAATATTTGACTGAATAATAGTTTGAGATTTGCATATTGACACTGCCACAGAATGGGATTGTGGCAAATGTGACACCACTGCAAAGTGGAAGGGAGTAAAAGTGTATTTATCTTCTGGTTACCATTTTCATGGTTTAATCCATAGAGTTTCAAAATTTGATATTGGCTCTAATGTGGTAGTTTTGGAGAAATCTAAGGTCATATTGGCAGTTCGCATGTTGCTTTAATATTAAACAGGAATCTTGTAGTTATATATATATTTCTCACAATTATGTAGGATGACGATGATGAAGACTGGTTCCCATTGGATATAAATGAGGCACTAAAGGAGCTGAGGAAAAGAAAGGTTTTTGACGTGGAAGATATCTACACAATTGCTGATGTTTGGGGTTGGACATGGGAAAAGGAACTTAGGAACAAAGCTCCCAAAAGATGGTCACAGGAATGGGAAGTCGAGTTGGGAATCAGGATAATGTCTAATGTACATTTAGTATTTTTCATTCCCGATCTCTTCATTCTGACAGATCTTATCTGATAGAATTTTTCACTGCGGCCAAAAATAAACTTTACTAAATTATATATCAGGTTATATCACTGGGTGGAAAACCCACAGTAGGGGATTGTGCTATGATACTGCGTGCTGCCATTCGAGCTCCCATGCCTTCAGCTTTCTTGAAAATTCTGCAGACAACACACAGTCTTGGCTATGTATTTGGCAGGTAAGAGATAGGTTCTTGTGAAGGCTGTATATAGATTCTTTTTGTCAGGAAATTGTTTTTAGTCCATTTGAACTGATCAATTTTTCTGTTTGGGGAGGGGGCTCATATCTTTTTTCTTTTCATACATATAAGCAGGAACCCCTTGGATTTTTTCTCAAATTTAATCCAAACTCCATAATTAATCCCAATGCCCCTAAAATAATACCCATACTTTTCTTCTTGTCCGTTCCCAAATAAAGCAAAATTTTCTCATTTGCTGAAAGAGTTACTACCTCGATTCCGCTAAGATTGGAACATGATGTAATGGTGCTATTATTAAGAAAGGTGGATTTATGTGGTTGGTATTGAGTTGGAAAAGTAGGAATAATTTAACTACTATGTTGCACGGAAACGCGAAAATCATGAAGAAACGGGAAACGGGAAACGTCAACTTTTGCTCAAAAAAGGCTTATTTGGAGAGTTTCCAAAGAGTTTCCGAGAGTTTCCGAAACACGTGCTCCTTCCCAAGAGTTTCCGTGCTACCTAGTTTAACTATTTAACAATGAATGACAACCATGCACATATTACCAAATATGAAACGGGAGTATGAGACAACTTAGTGGGACAGACGAAGACGAAAAGATGGGATAGTGATAACGGGAGGGAGTATAACTCTACTTTAGTAACCTTATTTTGATATTCCCCTCTGCCACCATTGATTGCTCCACCAAGGGAAAACAATGAGGTTAGAAAGCATGCACATTTGATCCATTACAAAGCGTGTTAAGCCTGAGTGAGCTTTATTAAAGGAGGAAGGGGGTATGTAAGGACAATAACTAGATAAGGTTAGTGTTTTGAAACTCATACGACTTGATGAATACAAAAGAGATAAACTCAATTATTTCAACAGAAAATGATTGAACTAATTATATACTACGGAGTAGTATTTAAGAACAAAGATGCACCCAATAATAATTGAATGATAGTTCTTTTGTTGTACATCTTTCTATTTAAAGAGCTTATGTTAAACATCTAGTAAAGAAAACAGTTGCTTCATTTTGTCAAATATGTCAAGCAAGACCTGCCCAGCATTTGGGGCTGGAAGTAATAAGAAAAATTCTCAAAGGTTTGAAAGTTCGACTGCAACAAATTTTCTTGAAAGATCCAAGTAAGAATGGAGGATAAATATGTAATGATTATGGCATGTATCCACACCTTGTTTTGCAGTCCTCTGTATGACGAAATAATAATGCTATGCCTTGATCTTGGAGAACTTGATGCTGCCATTGCCATAGTAGCAGACTTGGAGACTGGGGGAATCAAGGTTCCAGATGAAACCCTTGATCTAGTAATTTCTGCTAGGCTCTCAAATGACAATCCACTAAATGGTTCACAATAGCTGCATGCCCTTGTATTTGTAATGGTTGTATTAATATTATTATGATGGTGGTGATGATGACTTTTATTATTATACATAATAAAGTAAATTAATTGTTAGGTTGGTTTTTAGGATTTAATCCCCACTTTTTGGGTTGCATCCAATTTGATAGGCAATTAGGCATTTAAAGATGTAATTTGTTATACTATTGCTGTTTTTGTTTTGTCGTCATCATCATCATCATTACTCTTATTACTATTATTATTATTATGACTAGTAATTATACCCGTCCGTTGCATGGGAGTATAGTAACTACATAGAAACTAATGTTGTAATTAGAAATTGAAGAATATGTTAAGATAGGATGTAGGATGTATACAAATACTCACAAGTGAACAGAACTATTATGTGCAAGTGTGTAACAACGTATATTATGGTGTAGACCAATTAACTTGTGAAACTTTCTACAATAGGGTAATAGTGTATGTAATAAGTGCTGTTTCTAAGTTCAACCCAGTGTTAGACCTATTTACCATTCATATCTTGCAACAATAGGTACACATATCAATCACTCATGTCGAACTTTTTTTTTTACCGTCAAAAAAAAAGTTCGACATGAGTGGTTGATATGTGTACCTATTGTTGCAAGATATGAATGGTAAATAGGTCTAACACTGGGTTCAATTTATCAGGTGAATGTTTACCCGCAATCAACAATATTTTATACGGAGTATTCAACATTTACATCCATCAACCGCTTTGTATTACATCGCATCCAACACATCTATCATCATGATCAAGTTAATCTAGTAGATTGGGACATTGGGTGATAAACTGATAAATAGAAAAACATAAATTAAAAGTTTTGTAAAAGCGTAAATCAACGTTAATAAACTAACAATTGACAACTTTAATAACAATTTTTTACAATCAATTTTGTTTAAATAAAAGCAATATCACAAAAAAAAATTCAACTTCCGAGTTAACTCTTTTTCAAACAAAAATGTAAAAATATTATATATAGAAAAGCGAATTGTGCTTTATTATTTGTCTCAGATAAAAATACTTAAATATAACTATATATCCAATTTTCAACAACAAAATTGAAAATATAATTTAATAAGATCTAGTCCAGTAATAAGAAAAACTGAGGTGCTTATTATTATTAGCCTACAAAAAGTGATCAGTGAGGTTGTAAAATATGCAGAAAAATTGAATCATTAAAAGTTGAAATAGTAACTTTTATTTGAATATAAAATACAAGCAGATTGGGTGCATTAAATGTGGTTTCCTCCAATGTCCTTACTTTCCTGTCAATTATGTGGGACGCTCCAACTAAGATCTTCATGATCTCTGACTGCTAGGTGGAGTCGAAGGTGCCGCGCGGCGTGCACTGAACGTCCTTTCTGAGGCCTCTGTGATTCCTTGGTCCAAATGAGTTAAGATACTCAATTGCATGATTGTAATACTCAATATATAGATGAGGTTTGATGATAAATGAAAATATATTGATGATCAACTAACAAACCTTACAATTTTCATATCAATGCTCATTTTGTAAGTTACCTATGCTCATTTGGTATTGATGTTATGTTCATTTTAAAACGTTATATCAATGCATATTTCGAAAATGACATATTACATTAGATTCGCATATTAAAATTCATTAGAGTTGATTATAGATGTAATTTAATAATTTTTTATAAAAGAAAAGATAAGAAAAAGAAAAAAGATTGGAAGATATGAAGCAGATATCACAATGCTTAATAATAGATTTCTAATACTCAACAGAATAGGTTTGATGCTTACTAAAAGAACATTAATGCTCATTTATCGGAAACCGCAATTTTCACTTAAATTACGAAAATACTAGACTTCATTCCTCCCTCAACTATGCCACTAGTTTGTACATATTTACTTTAGTGAATTAAACATATCTTCTAATCCATATTTCATTTCCTTCCCATATGATATATCCACCAAGCCCAACTAAAGCACTACACAAATAATACAATTCTTTTCTAATGTACCAATAAAAGAAAAAGAATACATTTATACATGGTAGACTAGCGGGTTCCGGTTTTGAATTGAGACTGGCCAAGTTGTGCGTGTGGTGTAACGCCGTAGTATGTGGAATTGTGGATAATTTGGATGTAACTTTAAGGGAGTTTCAAGTCCACCCATACCCTTTGGATTTGCCGTAAAGAAAAATCAAAAGAAAAGTCTTGACCAAAAATATGATAATATTTTCAAAAGTCATACAAACTATGACAGCAACTTGCGCACCACATATATATTCATTATATAAAAGTTTTCCCAAAATATTCAATTCATGGACAACAACATTGACATATGAGCACAAAACTTATTAAGAAAATATCACATTTTTAATACAATGTAAAATGAAACAACTAACATTATAGCCATATTGCCATAATAATCAATACCAGAATACTATTAGCCGCACTCATTGCACACTCAAAGTCCCATTTTGCTGAATAAATGTGCAGATAGACTAGCAAAGGAGAGTTATGAATCCAATAATGATCTTAATAATTCTATGAGAGGATGCAAATGGCTTAGAGAATACTACATATTAGATATTATTATGTTTTGTTTTTCTTTTCGTTGTATAAACAAATATACATATGATTATCGTCCAATAGATAATGTTATATAGTCATTAATAATGTGGCCATAGATCGAATAGAATTACTACTTTACGCATATGTGAATGTTAACGTACGTAGTACTGTGATTTTTTCGAACCTAATTAAGGTGTTTGGGAGCTTTCAGTTGTGTTACACATTCCAATTTATTACAGTAAAAAAAATTACCCAATTGTGTACTTGGTGAAGTAGCTAGTAGGAATAACTTAATAAAAATGTGGTAATAAAGACAATGCATCAACGGTAACTTAATTTTCAAAATTTAAAGATCTAAAGTTCAGAATTTTATTGAAGGCAAACATAAAAAACATCTTGAATTGCAAAGGAGGCTATATGCCTCAAAAGCTTATGATCTAGATGTTCAATGTTGGGAAAATTTTAGGGAGCACAACTCACACTACTATAGAATATAGATTTTAGAGTCACTGCACATCTCACATGTGATCTTATCACAGCCATTCAATTATTCTTAAATAGATTGTTCACTATAAATTTACTTTCAAATGTATGAAATACTATTATGAAGTCGCATAGACTATATGATTACATAATAGAGTCATCATATAGGACTCCATAAAATATTTGTTCATAATAGTTGCAACTTACAACTATGATTAACTATGTCATAAATTGCTCAGCCTACAACAACTACATCGTATTTTTTTAGTGTTAATTTTTCATTATTAGTAGTAGTAGGTAGTATATTCATTAACACGACTTTAATGAGGAGAGGCCGGCCGGGACTAATCTTGAAATTTATGTGCTCGTTTAACACAGACTTTGTGATAATCCTCGATTAGAATTTGAAACTGTTGGAAAAAATATACACACAATACAAAAAACGATAAGAAAACACAAGAGTTTGATTACTCAGTTCGCCAAGAATGACTACTTCTGGGGGCACTATCAAGTTAAGATGTTACTATTATTTTTCTGATAATGATTACAATGAGAGAATGTATATTTAAAGAGAATATAACTCTAATACCAATAAGAGAACTCGCGGGCCCATAATGCAAAAGACCCAAAAAAAATCAGTCTTACAGAAATGACGGCCTTACAATTGGATCGGCAAAAATGGGCTTGATATATATACAATCTCTAACACCTTACACCTTACAGAAACCATTTCTCAAATATGAAAGTAAAATGGATGGCTTGCTAACTAACCACGAGAGTGGAGGGCAGTGTAAATGTGTGTACTAGCTCTTGCAAAAAAAATTCTCTAATCGCCGACTATAAGCTCTCATAATAAAAATGAACTTTTGTGTTCATACCTTGGTTCAATTTTTTGATAAACCTTGTGTGTAGCATTGTGATGCAAATTAAGTTAAATTTCTCCATATTGAAATGTTGAATACCTATTTGATCCTTTATGCATGTTTTTTTCTACAAAAAAATGACACTTGTTTTGATTCGTAAGACTGATTTTCTTAAGACTATCATATTTACATATACTCCGTAAAAAACTACAAGACGGTTAGAGCATGTACATACATATGTAGAAAACTACAAGACGGTTAAAGCATTTATCCAAGTTGCCATTGGGGTGTTTGGTTGATAGTCTATCAGCTATTTTTTGGCTGATTTGACTAATAATTAGCCTTTTGACCAAATGAATCAGCTAAAAAAGTGTTTGGTTAATGACTTTTTCATCTAACTTTTTGTCTCAAATAGCCAAAATAGAAAAATCTAACAAACTTGGAGTCCGTTTGGTAGCACGAAAAATCAGATGTTTTGGCTAATTCTACTGAAATTTATGAAGTTCTGACATAAGTGACTGCATTGGCTGATTTTACTGATTTAAGAAAAAATTATTTTTAAAATATGTTTTATTCATAAAATAAAGAAAAAATTATAAGTAAAAAAAAAGCTAAAATGATTATCTACAGTAACTTTAGTCAATACAGCCAGAAAAGTAATTTTCACCCTACTTTTTTTTCTTATAACATATTTCTGCGCGCGAAAGCAAAAGTTACGTGTTTAGTGAAAAAGTTGTCTGATAAGGCTAGGCTCTTCGTTTAGGAATTGGCTGATTCGTTTCTCTTTTCTTTATCTGATATCTCAGCTCATCATTTTCATGATCGACGACCTTCTCTTACAGTCTTACTTGCCCGGCTTTGCTCCATATTTTATCCATCACTTTAGTTTTTACTAAAAAATATCGCATCTGATTTTGAGGACGGCTGATCACGGCTCCAATCAGGGGCGGAGCCAAGGGGGTCAGGGGGTCAGTCGACCCCGCTGAAAGTTTGAGAGCATAGAGCTCTGAAATATCTTCGATTTGATATATTATGACCCCCGTAACTCATTACGAGTAAAAAGTTATGACTTCTATAAAATCAGCACTATCTAAACGTAAAATCAGCAAAATTTGATGAGTAATATTGATTTTTTCCCCCAAATTTTAAAATAGCGTATAATTAACTTATTACTTACGTGACATGACTCAAAAATAGAGCAAAAACAGTCTCTTTTATTGTTACGAGTGCCTATTTATCTAAACTACATATAAAATATTCAACTCGGACATTGTTTGGAAACGATCCACCGTTTTAAGTTTGTATAAAGTTGATTCTCGACCCCCCTGGACCATATTTCTGGCTCCGCCACTGGCTCCAATATACTATTATTTACAACATGCGATTAACTTTGATGATAATAGGGAGAAATTTATGTGATTTAGGAAAGCCTCAAACATCCTCAAAAACAGAGCAGACGGATAACAGAGGTAGGAATTTAATCTTGTTAGAAAGGTTGTCATCTATGTATGCACAGGCAGAGCACGGGGATGAGAAATTTCTTTGGGGTCTTACCAGTGACAAGGCAGGCTCGAGTGGAAGCGTATTCTGTATTGCCCGATGTATAGGGCACGGTACACG